CGGGGGCGCGGGGCTCAGTGGCAGGGCCACGAACAGCAAGAGAGGACGTGCCGGGGAGGAACTCAGTGCCCGGACCCGCCCCTGGGGGCAGAGAGACGACAGGCAGGAGGCCACATAGGAGCACAAAGGGCCATAGAGCAATTAATGAGGCGGGCGGGAATGGGCGGATGCTGGCTTCGTTATCAGGCTTCTGCAGGGCACATGGGCCTGCCCCACCCGCTACCCCTCCGTGCGCAGACCAGGGGAATCCCACGCTGGGCTCTCGGGCGAGGCACAAAAGCAGAGGCCATTAGCCTGGGAGACACGCCAGGGCAAGGAGGAGGAAAGGCAGAGACAGGCAATTAATGAGGCGGGCGGGAATGGGCGGATGCTGGCTTCGTTATCAGGCTTCTGCAGGGCACATGGGCCTGCCCCACCCGCTACCCCTCCGTGCGCAGACCAGGGGAATCCCACGCTGGGCTCTCGGGCGAGGCACAAAAGCAGAGGCCATTAGCCTGGGAGACACGCCAGGGCAAGGAGGAGGAAAGGCAGAGACAGCAAGGAAAGAAGCCAGGCATTCTCAGAGTGCCCCTTGACCCCGGGCCGTGCCAGCCAGGAGCCCCGCCCGAGGCCCTATCTCCAGCCCACGAACCGCAGCAGGAACAGGAAGATGTAGATAATATCCACGTAGATCTCCAGGGCGCCGAAGACGTACTCCTCCGGGTCCATGGCGTACTTCCGGTTCCCTACCAGCCGCTGGGTGTCGAAGGCCAGGAACTGGGGAGAGCAGAGACAGGGCGCTGGGTCAGCCCGGCGCGAAAGATGATCGGCCCCTCGTGCCAGAGCCCAGAGCTGCCTCCTGTCCGCCCCAGGAACAGGGGTCCAGGTTCAGCTGGGAGAGAGGGCAGGCGGCGCTACTCACCAGGGTGAAGACGATCGCCCCGAGGGCCGCGTACAGCATGTGGAGCCAGCGGACCTACAGAAAGGAGGAGGAACGAATCCCGTTGCTGCGAGGTGTTCGGGGCACAGACGACCCACGTAACCCACCCGTCGGGGGCTGGGGAAGAAAACCAGCCAGCTCCCAGAGCACAATCCCTACGGAGTCTTTTGCCCACCCCCAAAATGTGGCCACTTCTGGGGAGGAGCATGACAGCTGTGAACTAACCTCCAACAAACAAGCCAAGGGATTATTTTTAGAGATGAAGGGGCTCTTGGGGTTGCAGATCTGAAAGGGCCACTCTGGCAATACAGCGCCTCCTTGGGCAACTCAGGGGAGCGAGGGGCACCCCCAAAGCTGAGGGAAGAGCACCCCTCCTGAGCCACATTGGATGCATCCGGGGTTTCTTTAGAAGTCTCCCAGCAAAGCATCAAGCATCCACCTTTTAAGGCGGACCAAATCTCCCAGGCAATACTCCCACTGCCAACACAACATGCGCCGGCATCTCTGGCCGAATGCGAGCTGTTGCTGAGGGCAGCTGGCTCACGGATGCTTTCCTGCAAGGTGGCAGAGTGGGATCTGTTTGCAAGACCCAAATTTGGTCATTTCATTCACCCCCTTCCCAGGATCTGATGTGATCAGAGAAGAAGTCGCCCTGCTGCGGACATTCCGGTGCGCCATCCTTAGGTTTCAGAGTCATCACCCCTGTCAAGTCAGAGTTAACACCCTCCCTGTGAAAATGGGCTATTGCTTCAGTCTCTCTGCAGACTCAGGCCAGTCGTGCACCATGCTGGTCACACTGGGCTTAAGTTCTGCAGATATAGCTGGGACTTGCAGCGTCATGTCCCAGCCGGTCTATGACCGGGCCTCCCCCAGCCTTGCAAGGAGCAGCCCCTACTCACATATTTGTAGTAAAGGACAGTGGCGGTGACGATCGAGGTCAGAAGGAGGACGATCGCCAGCACACAGAACAACCCGGTACACGAGGTGAAATCCACCTGCCGGCGGGAGGGAGACAAGGCACTGTGAGACCCACAGAGCACATAGCTATCCCACCACACCAGGACGGACTGATTGCAATCAAAGTCACTCCCATCGCCGATTTTAGCCACCAAGCAGGAAACCTTGATTTAAATAATTGATTTGCATCTGCACCATGTCATTGGTGTCCGGAAGACAAGAGCTCATTGGCTGCTCATTTGTTGCACATCTACATGTTTAAAAGAGAAAGCTTTGACATGAAATGTGGTACTTTTCTTGGCTAAGCAGGAAGAAGCACTATCTATACACATCTATTTAAGTAGTTACAAAGATTCACGTTTTACCAGACGAGGATTAAGTTGAGATGTGTGTCAAGCGCTGTTTGGATAGAAATTCAAACAATTCAAAATACACAAAAACCAGCACATTTTTGTCATTAACTACCTTAGAAGTGCTAGATACACAAGAAAAAAAGTGGACCACCACATGTTTTGCATTGATTGTTTCTACTCTAGTCACTGTGACCTTCAAGATTTTAGAACTAGTAGATTTCATCCTCTCAGCTGGCTTTCACGGAGAAATTGGAAGAGGAAAATGAGGTTTCCTGCTTTTTCGTCACCCTCAGTTGGTTTCTTAGCTTTGAAATGAATGAGTTGAATCAACTGAAATGGAGAAAGTTCTCTCCCTACACCTGCGCAGGACACGGCTGCTGTCAAAAGCTGGAGCAGCCCTTCAACAACTCACAGTGCTACGCCAGTGAGTTCCACCAGTCAATAGCGACGGTCTTTATCACCCAGTAGGAAACAGGACCTGCTTCATAGGTTTTTGCATTTAATTGAAATTATATTACAATCAGTTTTGGTCTTAAATTGCCAGCTTCAAGTTTTTAAATAAATAGCTTCAAAATTTCCAAACATATATTTTAATTAACCCTCCCCCCACCGATTTTGATTTGCCCTATTCGGCATGAGGCTTCCCCAGCAGGGGTGCCAAAGACTGGGGCTGGCTGCTCCCCAGGGCAGCCAGGATGGGCCACACTGGCTCTTCCCCGAAAGGGGGGGCGGCGCCTGCAGGGCACGGCGCTGCCCAGCTGGGACGTGGCCAGCGAGGAGCCCCCCCAGGAAGCGGCCGCCCTGCAGGCTCTCTGGGCCGCTACACGAGATCCCCGTTGGAGTCTGGCCCCAGAGCTGGGCGCAGGCAGCGCGGCCCCCAGGGCCAGGGGTTCTCTGCCCCCCAGCACCCTACGCTGGGCGATGCGGCGTCGGCCCAGTGCCCAGCCCCAGCCTACACCGCGGGGGCCCTCAGGAGGGGAAGTCCCCGACCCCCGTCCCCGCTGCCCTGGGCGCCCCTGAGCCTCACCTTGGTCTGGAAGCAGAAGACGGTGACAGCGATGGCCACTATGGCGGTGATCACCATGGTGATGAGGACAGCGTTGGTGCTGTACATGCTGTGAAAAAGGGGGGGGGGCGTTTCAAAGCCATTTGATTATTTCCTGTGTCCCCTCTCCGGGT